CCCCGGCCCCCCGGGAGCTCAGGTACACGCCCCACGCCCCGGCGTCACTCACAGGCTCTGCTCCGACTGGTGGCTCTCGGGGTTGAAGCGGTACGATGGGAGGTGTTCAATGTCTGCTTTGGTGAGGCCCCGTGGCTTGGCCTCGCCCAGCCGCTCAGCCAGGTTCAGTAACGCCTGGGGGCGGAACGGGGATCCAGAGCTCAGCTCCCTCTTTAAACCCCGAGCCAGCAGCCCCTTCCCCAGCCCTCATCTGAGGGGTCCCAGCAGAGCCCCTACCCCTTCCCCGAGTGTCTGCTCCACACCCCCACGGCAAGTGAGCGGCTGAAATGCCAGCCCACTCCTCCGGGAGCTCCCCAGCCGCATCCTGCCCAGAAGAGACGTGGCGCAGTCTCCTTGTTCCCACCCCCGGAGCTCTGCTCCCTGCCGCTGGAATCCGCCCCCCCAGATCCCAGCAGCCGCGCCCGGGCGGGGAGAGGCCAGCACACCTCGTAATTCTCCATCTCCACATCGTCCACGTCCAGGTCGAGGCTGAGCGTGGGCCCCACGGCCGTCGGCGACACGGGGAGCATTGAGCTGGGGAGAGAGGGGGCGGGGCAGTTACCCACGAGCAGCGGGACCCTGCAGGATGCGTGTCACACGTGGTTCAAGGAACCACAACCCAACACCCAACCCCCACAGCCCCCAGCGCGCCTGTGGGGCAGAGGCCTGAGGGGTGGGAGGGGACCCAGCCCCGCAGACGCCCCCCGTGGGTACTCACAGGAAGTACGGCAGGAAGCTCGGGTAGTAGGGGGGGGGCGGCGGTGGGGGGGGCGGCAGTGGCTGCTGCAGTCGGTATCGCTGGGTATTCAGTCGCCGTGGCATCATGGGCGGGTACGGCTGCAGGGAGAGAGCACAGGGCCCGGTCAGCGGCCCCGGGGTGCGCCCAGCCCGTACCCCACCGCGCAGACCGGGCGGAGGGGGAGCAGCAGCCCCAGGGATCCGGGGCCCCAACTCCACCAAGGAGGAGGACAACCCTGCTTCCCGCCAGCCCGGCCCTGTCCCATCTCCTCTCTCGGGGGCGCGGCCGCGTTCCCCGAGCACAGAGCCGGGAGGGGGCAGGCTGTCCCCGTCCCAGCCGCCCCACTCCCCACGCGGGAACTTACCACGCCAAACGGCAGCTCCTGGTGCAGCGGGTCGTGGGGGAGGTAATGCAGCGGGACAGAGGGGGACAGCGCTGGGGCGTGGGGAGAGGGCGGGTAGGCGAAGCCCCCGATGGCATGCTGCTCCCCTCGCAACTCCACCTCATTGTCTATCCTCTGCAGAGGCTGGAGGGAAGAGAAAGTGTGTGTGAGCTCGGTTACTGGGGTCCCTGCTGTGCCCACGGGCCGGGGGGAGGAGGGAGCTCGGTTACCGGGGGGTCCCTGCTGTGCCCACAGGGCCGGGGGCCGCTCTGCTCTGCCAGTGCACCCCCCATGGGGATCAGCATCTCACACAGACACCACCCTGCAGGAATCCTGGCCTTCCCGGGCCTGGCCCTCCCTCCCACCTGCTCTGGACGGCGCGAGTCCATCCCAGGAGCACGGCTGCAGCGCTGCGGCCTGGGCATGGGGCCTGGGAACGCGAGCCCAGCCCCAGAGGTCACCCGGCCCACCCTGCCTTGCAGAGCTTGCTAGGGGCAGCTCGAGCCGGAAGTGCCCCTGCCCAGCGAGGCTGCGGGGTAGGCTCACCCCAGCCCGTTCCATAGCCCTGGCCAGGAGCCCAGCCCGTCCCCCGGCAGTGCGCGGACCCCGCCCAGCCCGCCCCGTCCCCACACTCACCATGCGCGGGTGCTGGGCCTGCAGCGGCAGGAACTGGCCGAGGGGGGCCATGTGCGGGGGCTGGTGCGGCGGCACTGGCGGGGGCGGGTGCAGGATGTAATGGTCGCTGGAGAGGATGGGCGGGAACGTCTGGTAGGAGACGGGCAGCTGCTGCATGGCACATGCCTGGATGAGCTGGGAAGGAAGGAAGAGCGCCGGGGGGAGTCAGTCGCCCAGCACCCCACACTCAGGAATGGGGGCCCGCAGAGCCCCAGGGGTGCCCCATCCCCGATCACCCAGCTGGGGAGGGGACGGGGGCCAAGAGCCACAGGGTTTTGTGGCTATCAAAGGTGTCACGGGCCCAAGCAGGCAGTATCCTGCTCCGGGTCGCTAGTCCTTCGCTCCCCCACTCCGTCCGGAGCTCCTGCTTGCCGGTTCCCGTCCCCGCTCCCTCTCCCACGGCACGGCCTGGCGCGGCGTGCCCAGAGCCCCCGAGATGGGCCCAGGTTGCCAGCTCCCCACGACCCCCAGGCGACAGCGGCCGGGCGCCCGGACTCACAGGGGGCGGGAGGCAGCAGAGTGGGTAGTGCTGCCCGCTGAACATCATGGAGCATGCTGGGAGCTGCTGCGCGCTGCACCCGGGGATGTGCTGGCCTGCGTGGATAGGAAAGCCCTGCGTCGTTACCGTGGTCACCGTGTAGGAGAGGGGGACGGGGCCCTGGTGCACCTGCAAACGGGAGACATGCGAAGCACTGTCAGATGGCTCCTCGCGCCAGCCTGCCCCAGCCACGGCCGAGCCCTCATCCCCGTGGGGCCATCGCACGAAGCCGGGCGCTCTCAGGCTGGCCAAGCTGCAGCCAGCCACCTGAATCCCAGCACCTCCTCCCGGGCCCACGGCTCTGCAGCGCCACCATCTGCTCCGCTCTGCTTCACGAGGCTGGGGCCGAGCCCTGCGGCTCCCGGCAGCTTACCAACGCAGCCCTTGGCTGGGCAGAGACCAGGCACGGCCCCTGGCAGGAGCAGCTCGAGGTGGGGCGAGGGGCTCCCCCCAAAGACATTCTCTCTGGAGCACCCAACCCTTTGGCACTGGGCATCTGCGTGAGCAGAGGGGGACGCACCGCAAGGCATCAGGGGACATCGCCCCCTGGGTCATTCACCCAACAGCCCCTGGGGGCTACCCTCACGGCACCCACCCCAGGAACCTGGAGCATAGTCCTTCCTGCAGGGGAAGGGAGGCTGCCGAGCCGGCTCTGGGCGAGCCAGGCAGGCCCGGGGTCTCCAGGCCGGTGCACACGCAGCAGGGCCAGGCGCATCGGGGGTGGTCAGAAGGAGGCCCTGCTGCCGTGGGACCCGGCTGCTCTGGACACAGACGGCCGCAGGAATTCAGAGTCTGGCCACGCTTAGCTCTTGCTGAATAGCAGCTGGGCCGGGAAAGGCCCATAATCTGGACTCCACGGCCACGCACAATCTCCAGGGAGGAGAAACACCCTCCGCCCTGCGGGGCTGCCGCTGGCCAGGCCAGGCCAGGCGGCGCTCGGTGCCCCTTTGAGAGGGGGTCAGTCACACCGGATAGGAGCGCTGGGATGCCTGCAGGACTCCCCTCGGGCCTCTACTCCGGCAGGCAAGTCAAGGGCTCTCCGCCTCTGCCCAGTCGTGTCCCTGGTACCCGCAGGCACCCAGGGACCTGTGCAGGGCTGGCCAAAGCTGCCACAGCAGCACATTAGAACTCGTCTGGCACCCACTGGCTCCAGCCCCAGGGCCGCGCATTGGCACCTGGGCGAGAACTGCTGAGCTCTGGGACATGGGCCTGTGGGAACGTCACCCTGGCCCTCTCCTTTCTGGGGAGCTCCAAACCCCTGCCCCTCCTCCCGCCGGGGACAGCACAGTCCCCATCCCTGCCCTACCTGCTCGTGGAGATCCACCATGAATGGGCTCTGGTGGGGCGGGTGAGCGGCTGGGTGAAGCATTCGTGGTGGCGTGCTGGCGAGAGCGTACGCTCGGGGCTCATCTACAGGGAGGTGCTGCTGCTGCGGGGGGAAGGCAGGGCGCAGGTAGTTCTCATCCTGGGCCAGCAGGGTTTGCAGAGGTCGGTCGCGTCGTCCCCACGGACGCCTGGAAGGGGGGCTGTGGGCCGCCATGGGGAAGGAACAGACCAGGAGTGACCTCAGGGCCATGCAGCTGTCACATACGGGGCAGTGCCTGGGCCAGCCCCACACAGCCATCACACCCCTGGACGGCAGGACTCAGACCACAGCAGCACTGACCATGCGGGGCTGGTGCTGCATGGGACATGTGGGGTTGGAGCAGTCCCAGCTAGGACAGCACCCCTGGGTGTGCAGAGAGCTAGGACATGAGGTCCCCCCTCAGCACCCTCCCAGGCGGGGCTCCTGCGGGGCGCAGGGCTGAGCCGTGAGCCTGCCCGTGAGTGCCAAGCTCAGACCAACACGCCTCTATCCCACCCCAACCCCAGGCAGGGGGAGCCTTGCCCGCCTGGCTGGAGTCAGATACACTGGGGTTGGGGGCACCCGGCCGTGCTTGGCTTTACCCCAGCAGGTGAGGTCAGCTGGGGCCCCGAGCTCCGGATGTGCTGCAGTCTGTCCCGCCAGGCTCCTCAGGCGTGGGCCGGCAGAGTTTCAGGGGTGTCACCGGGGAACCAACGCTCAGTGGCTGTGCTGTTCACGCACCCAGAGGCCAGGGGGTGCCCGGTACGTTACGAATCACTTCCCCTACCTGCCCACTAAGACCCCAAACAGCTGCTGGCTGGGCAGGGGAGATCCCCTTCCTCCCACTGCAACGGCCCCAGAGCTCTCCCGGCAAGCCTGCGGCTGCCCCAGCCCATGGCCCCAGCCCTCCCCATGGAGGAAGCTGAAGGAAAGGCCCTTCTTTGGCGATAGCGAGCAGGTGGGTTGCAGGGGCAGGCAAGCCAGCCCGGCCCGAGGAGCTGAGACTGTCGACGGCCGCAGCAAGGCCTGGCCTGCCTGGCGCTTTTTAAATATGAAGTTGTTGCCCCTTGACACTACAGATCCCAGCATGCAATGCTCCGCCTGAACCTGAGCAGCTGTGCCACACTGCATGCTGGGAGCTGTGGTCTCTGCAGTCTGCACCCAAGTATGGGGGGCGGGGGCAATGCCCTGCTCCACTCCCGGGCGAGGGAGGGGCTGTACCTTCGCCTGAGGTGCTCGGGGCTGCTGCAGGGTCCCCCCGAGAAACGCCGCGGGTTGAAGGGGGCAGAGGGAGGCCGCCTATTGACTGCCAGTTCCCATGGTCGCATTGGTGACGTCGGGGAGGCAGAAGGGCGCGCTGGGCCTCAGGCTCCGAGCGGGACGAGACACCAGCACCTCACAGCCTGCCAAGAACGAGAAGGCAGTGAACCCCCCAGCGCGCTCTGCCCAGGGCTCTCCCACCCACAGGCAACAGCACCAGGGGCCTCTGCCCCGGTGGAACCCGCTACTTCCCGCCCCTCCCACACACAGACCGTCTGATCCCGGAGTCCCTACCCAGTGATCCCCAGCAGCTCTGCTCGGCTGCTCCCCACAACTGCTCCGCTCCACCTGCCCCCCAGGCCTGCCGAGAAACCGACACGGGGGGCGGGGAAGGCGGGGAGTGCAGGGCAGGGGCCGTGCATGCCAGGCCAGCGGACTACACACGCTGGGGCACCCCCAGCAGGAGCCCCCACCCCCAGCCAGTGGGAGGAAAGGCAGAGGTACGCATGCACTGACTGGCCACCGCTGCCTGCACCTGGAGAGCTCGGACAGAAGGGAGGGGCAGACGAGGGAGAAACGGGAGGAGAGGCGGGCATGAAAGCAGCAGCGCTGGTGGCAGTGCCAAGGAGAATCAGGGGGAAGAGGGCTGACCCCCAGGCACTTCCCACACCCCTGCGCCAGGCCAACAGGCTGCTCAGAAGCAGAAGGGCCTGGACATATTCTATTCAATGTGGTACTGATGCAGTTAACAGCTGGCCCCGCAGCGCAGGTGCCCCCAGCTGTGACCCCGTCTGCCTCCTGCGAGGGGCTGGGCAGCTCTCACTCCATGCCAGCCTCTAAGCCCCTGGGATTAACATTTTTGTAATGCTTTCCCACAATGCCCAGGGCCTGGCGAGGCCGGGCACCGCGGTACCAGGTTCCCATAGTGTCTGCACTGCTGCTAGTGCCAAGACCTTTCGGGCCCTGCTGCCTCCGGCACGCTGGGACCTGCGGAGGCTTGCCGGTCTCTGCAGCAGGGTGTCAGCACCCCGGGCAGCTACAGGCCTCGTGCTGTGGGGCCTGGCCAGCGCCCGGCGAAGGAACGAGTATTCCCAATGGGGGAGCTGCAACGGGGCGAGCCCATACCTTGGGGCACCCTGCTGAGGGGAAATGGCCAGCCCTGCAGGCTGCTTGGGCCCTCAGGGGCCCGTGTCCCTCCGCCGGGGCCCAGTCCCACTCCAGCAGGCCTCGGGAGCGGCAGGAGACAGAAGCTATTGTCTCGTGGGCAGGAGCACAGGGCCAAGGGGGGGGAAGGCGCCAGGCTCTCAGCTGGAGAGGAGATGGTCGAGGGAAACGGGTGGGAGCAGAGAGCCCCCCCTCGCAGCTAAGCATGCCACCCCGTGATGGGCAGCCAGGAGAGCGCCTGGCCTCCACAGGGGCCCTAGTGAGTGGCCCCCCAACCGCGAGCCCCTGCTGGCTCACCGGCATGCCAGCCTGCTCGCAGCTGAGGGCACAGCAAAGCTGACCTCCGGGAGGGTGCAGGCCCCGCCCCCAGCAGTGCCATCTTGCTGGAAGTGGCTTGGTTGGGGCAGCGTAGCAGTGGCGTGTGGCTGAGGGGGGCTCCTCTCTCCCCGGCACTTCTCCTGCAGGGAGCCTCCAGCTGTTATCCCTGGGGGCAGTGACCCGGCCATGGTCACAGCAGAGCAGCCGCAGAGCTGAGAACAGAACCCAGATCTCCTGAGTCCCAGCTCGGTGCCTTATCAACAGCCACCACTTGGCCTGCAGCGGGCACAGCTTTGGAGTGACCCCAGCGTGTCACCTGCAGGCCTGGGGAGGAAGGCGGGGACACAGGGCCAGGGCGTTTCCCCCCCACCCTAGCCGCAGGAAATGCCAGACAGACGGTGGGCGATGCACCGAAAGGGTCCCTGCTCTCCGGCGCAGCGCGAAGGCCCCAGCAGCACCTGTAACCTGGACAGGGCCGGCACTGCTTTCTGGGCCAGGCTGGGCTCAGCTGCCCGCGGAGCCGGAGCAGGAAGAGAACACGCTGAGCTCGCTGCTCTGGGAGCCAGTGGGACCGTTGAGCCGTTTCAGCCAGCCCGGGCCCGGGCTCAGGCACAGGAGGATCCCAGCAGCTCCCCCAGGAAGCTGGGTTCGGGTTTTCTCCACATGGCCAAGTGCGCCTGGCCCAGGCTCCACAGTAAAGCCTCAAGCGGGCGCGGGGCGCTGGCCCGGCTCGCACAGCTGCTGGCGCACGGGGCACACACCTGCTGGGCAGGCCGGGCCCGAGGCAGGGGGAGAAGTGAGCTCATCCAGCCACAGCCTCAGCCTTCACGTCCCTGCAAGCTCCAGCGGCTGCAAGCACCACAGCTCTGCACCAGCCCGCGTCCCAGGAGCAACGTCTTGGGCCCCTCGCTACGCCAGGCCTGCTGTCACCACCAGCTCCCCTCCAAGGGCCCCCTATGCAGGCTGCTGCCCCGGGGACCTGCCCTCCTGCCGCTCAGGTCAGCCAGCTCCCACGGCTCCACCCCCTCCCTCAGGGACACAGGCCTTGTCAGCGTCCCTCCCGGGGGCAGCCAGACTGCCCCACCCAAGGCACCAGCGCCGGGGGAGGGCGGCGGGATAAGCCTCCAGTCCTCCCTGCGGCTCCCCAAGAAGAGCAGAGCCCGAGGGGTGCAGTGGGACAGTCACACCAGGGGCTAGGTACTGGTGCGGATGCTCCTCCCGGAGAGCCCATTGCAAGAGGGCAGGGACCACATTCTCCACAAGGGTCTGGAGAACAGGGACCTTCTGTGGCAGCGTCGATGCCCCCAGGGTGCCACCTTCCCCTTTACTTCCTATCCAGGAGCTTCATTCGTTCCCTAGCTGGACAGGCGCTCTCTGGGGCGGGGAGCCACTCTCTCTGCTCTGGGTCTGCACAGCAGCAAGCAGCCACACAGCGATACACACAACAAACGCAAAGGTGAAACAGCATCCCAGGTGCTCGGCCCACCTGCCAGGCCAGTCACACCACAGCCAAGGGCCACACGCAACGGGAACCAAGGACGAGGTGCTCCACGGCGGCCTATGAACAGGCCCCAGCCTTCCCACGCTAGGGAGGTGGGATTACTGAAAACCCACCCTGCTCCCCCAGAGATTGCAGGCAGCTGGAATCACGCAGGCCCTGTCACTGCTGGCCAAGTGAGTGGGGTCCGAAGCCTGCTGACCCCCACACCGCCAGCTCACACCCTTGCACCCAGGACTGCCTTGGGCCGCACTAGTGCTCAGTGCCGTGTTAGCACGTGCATTTCCCAACACCTTCCCAGGGCAGGAAAAGCCCCTAAGAACTTCGACTGAACCCCACCCCACCCCAGGGCAGCCGGCCCACCGCAGCTTCGAGACAGTCGCTCAGCCACCCGCCCCGACCCAGGCCAACCTCTGAAATGTCCCACAGAGGCTGGCCAGGCCCCAAGGGGGCAGCACCTCCACGGGGAATCCAGCTCCTGCTCCAGATTCTTAGCTTTCATTTGACATTAGCCCTTCTGGGTGCAAAGATTACCTTCACACTGTGACTCAAGCGTGACCCAGGAGTGATGTCTGGCTGAGTCTGCAGACAGCCTGAAGCAAGAGCTCTGGGGCACGAGCTGCTCGTTCACCTCAACCAGCTGTTAACTCTGGAGCCTAATAATGGTGATGTAAGTGTCAGTCTCAACTATTTCACTGCTGATCAAAGCACACTGGAAAGGAGAGGGAGGCGCTCAGACGCCTAAATAAAGCACGGCCACCAATCCAACAGCCCCGCTGCCACTCACGCTCTGGGGAGGAGTCTCATTTTGCCATAACTTTTCCTACCCGCCCTTGATCACAGAGCGCTTTCAAGCCCTGCCTAGAAACACCAAGTTCCCTGCACTGCTGGGGCGCCCTGAGAAACACATTATACCTCAGTGAGAGACGAGACACGGACACACCACTGTCTGAAAGGAACTATAAAGTGAAGCCCTTCGTAGCTTCAGCGGCGCTGGGCCACCCAGAATGCCCCCCATCCTGGCCACAGAGATTCGAGAACAAAAGGCAGCACTTCCAAGGAGGGGGCGTAATGTGCACACCCCGCCCTTGGGACCGTGCGCTGCTAATAACTTCTGCTCTCCCATTGGCTCTCTGCATGCCCAAGAGTCACAGGTGGCCAAGTGTCAGCAATGCAGAGGCAGGCAGGCCCAGCGGTTAGGGCACTAGGACCCAGGAGACCAGGGTTCAGGTCCCTGCTCCACCAAAGACTTCCAGTCACGCAGCTTAAGGCCAGACGGGCCCCCATCATCCAGCCCGACCTCCTATACATCCCAGACCACCCCCACGCCATGCCCAACCACCGGGAGACTGCACTGCTGGCTGCATGCCACGGGCAGAGAACGGGCGTGCTGAGATGCACCAGTGCCCAAGCTCCTGCAAGGGCAGGGAAGTGACTTGGTGCGAGGTACCCAGACGATCCCAGCAAGCGACCCGAGCCCCACGCTGCAGAGGGGGACAACCCCCCCCCCCCCAGGTCCCTGCCAGCGTGAGCTGGGGCAAAACCCCTTCCTGACCCCACACCTGGCGATCAGTCAGACCCTGACCATGTGAGCAAGAACCAGCCAGCCAGGCAGCTGAGAGACAGACTTCCTGGTGCTGCCTCAGAGTCCACACCCCCCCACGTCCCCCTACCAGGGAGGGCTCCCTGAGGCTTCAGAGAAAGGAGATAAAAATCCAAACCAGAATACACCCGGCGAGGAGGGGGTTTCCTTCCTGACCCCTACAGGTGACCAACAGAAGTCCTAAAGCATGAGCTGTTCGAAAGAGAAGACACAGAATGGCCCCCCAGCATCAGAGGCAACCCCGCCATACAATCCCACTCATAAATCTGTATGAATCGCCCCCCGCTGCTCCTGTGGGGCAGCTGGTCCAGAGCCTCACCCCTCTGCTGGTTAGACCCCTTCTCATTTCCAGCCTGGGGCCAGCACTGGCCTCTAGCTCCAACAGCTCTTCGCCCTCCCATTGTTTACCCCCCACCTGCATCTCTGGACAGCAATCAGATCCCTGCTCAGCCCCCACTTTGCTAGGCACACCCCGAACACCACCGCAGCCCTTCTCTGCACCACTTCCTGTCTGAATTCATCTTCCCTGGACATGGGTGACAAGAACAGTGCACAATGTTCCAGACGAGGTCTCACCAGGGCCTTATCCAGTGGCGTTAATACTCCTCTCTCTCTACCGGAAACACGTCGCCTGACCCAGCCGAGGTTAACACAGAGCTTTCTCACAGCCCCACCACGGTCACCCTGTGATCCACCTACACACTCAGGTCCCTCTCCTCCTCCCTCACTTCCCCCGAGCTCAGAGCACAAATGCTTGTTCCTAGTTCCCAAGAGCATGACCTTGCCCTTGGGGCTATTAAACCTCATCCCTTTTCTACTCCTCCAGTCCTGAAAGTCGTCCCATTCTTCCTGAGAATATTCCGATCCTCCTCTGCACGGACGATCCCTCCCACCCTCACTTGGCCTGTCCCTGCACCAGTTCCCCATCTGTGACATGGGGATCGTACCGTTACCCTGCCTCAGATACCACACGAATGGAGGCCCTGTAAGTCCCATACACCAGTAGAAAACAGCACCCTACAGAGACATCATCTTAGCTGAACATTTCAGGGGGTTCTGAGCCGACAGCTGAGCAGCCAGGAATTTCTCCCCAGACCATTCAGAGTTGAAGGTCGACAGCCATTAACTCAAAGATGCACCAACCGCCTGCATGGTGGCAGAGAGGCCAGAAGCCCCAGGTAATCTCTGCTAGAAGCTGCCAATTTATCGGACTAATATTTATATTTGCCAACCTCCATCTTCCTCTTTGATCAGACCATGGGCCTCTCCACAGCAGCAAGGCGTGCAATCGGAGAAAAAAAAATCAAGCAACTATCACAACTCAGCAAGAGGGGCTGCCACGGCTCTGCACAAAACAAGGCCAAACCTCGGCCCAGCTCAGGCACCGAGCTACGAAGCACGCGTCCCATACAAGGGCTCACGGAGGCAATGCTGGGAGTGACTCTCAGGAGACCCACGGAAGGGCCTTAGCGAGCAAAGAGAACTCGCAGCACTGATGAGCCACCCAGCAGAGAGGCACGGGCTAGCCAGAGGCCACCCACGCCGGAGCCGCAGCCTCGCGAAGAGGCTGAAAGGAGGGGAGAGATGCTCGAACAGGTGGGGACTGGGCGATGGACAGCACCAAAGCAAATGTCAGTATCAGCAGGGGGGCCAGGGCTCCCCCTAACCTCCCAGAGGGCCTCACACTGGCCACAGCATCCGAGGGGCAGAGCTAGGAGGAAGATCTGGCCAGGTCGAATTTTAGCTTCCCCATTGTTTGCAGCATCTCGGGAGTTGGGAACAATGCCCCCACCCCCACCCCTTCCAGCAGCAGCTGCTCCTCCTGCCCTTGGGAAAACCCCATGATGTCACCCCACCTGTGGGGGCCAGGTCTGAGAGCTGACTGTGCTGCAAGAGTTCATCATAGCGTCCCCAGGCTCCATTTTGTTCCACACCTACGATTCGTCCCCCCTC